CCTGATCTCCTTCCATGTAACTGTTCCCTTTATTGATTGTATCAAAATAAACCTGTATTGTCCTATTCCTACACGGACACCACCAGCACTTATAGGGTCTGAGAATGATGAGTTCATTCAGATGAATCACACAGTTTTTTAAGAACTGGTTCCCAGCATGAGCAATGCTCTCTAGAGAAGGTGCTCTTGCAGATTCATCCCGGCCCACTGCAGGTGCTCAGTTAGGAGCAGGATTTCCCTCGCATCTCCACAGGCTGCCTCCTTCAGCCACCATACAGGAGGCCCAGGCTGATGGCTCCCCTAACTGCCTGAAGTAAGCCAACAAAATCCAGGCCAGTAAGATTCTGAAAGACAGCATGAGTGAGTCAAAACTTCCAGATGTAAACTGCTTATTCACAAGAGCACTGGCTTGCATACTCTACATGCTTTTTGTGCTACTCATGGCCACGTGCATTTGCCTCCAATACATGTTGGAACTTTCCCTTCTTGGGTTCACCCAGTACTAGATGGAGTGATGTGTTTGTATATACACGTGCATTTATACTGAAAACATAACCGTGTGAATACTTTGGGTTTTGATATAACAGTTTTGCTTTTGCTCAATAAAAGCACGAGACATCTATAAAATGTAGCTTTGGTCTTTGTAACCATACTATTTGTCATTAATCAAAAAAACCCTGCAATTAAAATTTCTTACAATATCTAGATGAGAGAATAGCAAATTTGGTCTTGGTTCACAGTTCTTTAACCCGATATTGATTAAAAGGCATGCGATCTAAAAGAATGAGGTCTTAGTTTCAACATCTTATAAATTTTCATCTTGTAATGGAAGAACAATATCATAAATTAAAGTTCACAAGAACAAACAACAGAAAAAATCACCTGGAATCAGCTTGGCATAACCCTACTCCTACCATTAAACTAGAAAACAAAATTAACCATTCACAATACCTTGCCAGAGCTACATTTGTGAAGTTCCCAATATAACTGTGGCCTCCTTGGTAGGTGATGGGCACAACCCAAGCAGAAGAAATCATTCTGTCCTCAGACCAGATCATCCTGTGCTTTCCATAGCCCACAGGGATAGCAGCTGGCCCAGGCAAGGCCTCTTGGCTTATGACAGACCCTTTTTGTCTAGCATGTAGTAAAATATGACTCACTTCAGGGACACACATTTGAGGGAAGTCACAGAAAAGTTCACTAAGCACTGCCAGTAAAAACATGGGCGTACTTACTCTGTCTTTGTAATGGTACAAAGCATGTCAGGGGGGTACGTGCTTTCCAGTGTAATCATCCCTCAGCCCTCTCTGGAGAAAGACAGCACGGTCATGCTACAATACTCATAATCACAGCATTCATCCAACTTTCTCTGTCAACCAACTTGACAGTAACCTCATCATGGATTTATTCCTTTTCCCAGTCTTAATTATCAACATTGCCTCCCCACATTGTTACACTGAGGGCACACCAGCTTAGTACATGTAAATCAAAGTAACAGTCTCACCTTCTTCATGAAGGTTTGTCATCCTGTACCTGCTCTTGCCTCTCTCACCTGACCATCTTCCCCACCTTCAACACTCTTCATCACCTCGCACTTGTGTGTCTGCTTGCTCCATGCTGCCCTGTTCATCACAGCTGTCTGTCAAGCACGTTCTGTGGTTCTAAGAGGGGTTCTGAGACATTTTGTCAGAGGACTGGGATCCAAACCCCACCTTTGGGTTTCTTTGCACTTAAAGTAAGAGTGAGGGCGTGCCCGGATCCCGGCCTGTGCAGGTGCCTCCCGCGGCAGAGACCCCTCAGAGCCGCCGGTGCTGCCGGGGCTGCGGAGCCCTCACCGCTCCCCACACGGCGCGCCAGTGAGGCGGCAAGTTAACAAACCTGAGCCGCTCCCCAAAGCCCACACGCATCTTTCACCTACAGTGATAACTTTAACTTTGTCCAAAAAGGGTCCCAACAGCTGCGCCACTCCCCGTACGGCTCTCCTGGGCACACAGGGGCTGTCACGGTGCCCTCCTTCGAACCCAGCCCCAGCAGGCGCTGGCTCCTGCCCCTGAGGAGCCTCGCCCCGCGCTGCCGCGCAGCCTCAGCTGCCCCCGGCCGGCAGCCGCCTTCCCTCCCCGGCACCCGCTGCAAACCCCCGTGGGACGGTGCCGGGCCCCACACCGCCGGTCTGAGCCCGCCTGAGGGACCACAGGTCTGACTGGGGCCACTGCTCCATCCCGCTGCTCCTGTGTGAGCTGCACAGGGAAAAGTCAGGAGTTGGCTCTTGTTCAGGATGGGAATTTTATTTTGAACTCTTGGATTTTAGCAGCAGAGGAGCTCCCAGAGACAGGACTGGTGCTGTACCTCTTCTCCTGCTCGCAAGATGACCACTCGTTTTCTGAGGCTCCCAAGTGCAGATGGGGACTTCCAGCTGAAGCCTTTCCTATTCCAGTGCAAAAGCCAGGCAGATCCGCTTAGCTAACACACACACCTGGTTGGTGTGAAGCAGCCTGTTAACAGCGGGACTCTCACAGGGACAGCCATACCCAGGGCTAACAGCACCAGTCCTGCCTGCAATAACGCTGCCCGGCCGGCCGGTGCCCAGCACTGTAAGCTGGAGTTCCCAGTGACAGGCACAATCCCACCCCCATGCCCGCTGGCGGCAGGGCAGCCCTGGAAGTCTGCCAGAACCAGCTCCTTTCAGGCTGAAGTGTGGCATGAGTCTCTAGCCTCCCATTTCCAGACACTTCTTAACTGCTTCCTTCATGTTATTTTATTTCAGCGATTTAAATTTTCTGTGACATGTCTTGGCACTCAAAGAATTTTGTGAAAACCTAAATATTCCTGCTGCGAATGCTCTGTGTGTATGCTTGTCTTAAATCTTCCTGTTTATTTTATTTTTCAATCCTAACAGCCAATGTCACTAATCACCTTTCGGATCATGGACTAATAAAAATATTGCATACTGCAAAGGCTTCATCCCAAACTCTTACAACCCCATGGCATATGCCTACTTGTATAAAGGATGGACAAAGAATTTTTTAATCCTTTCACCCTATTTACAAAGCAAATCTGAACTTTAAATGCTTAGAGAACTGGGAAAACCATAGCCACTTGCATGGATTACACTGTGATTTTGCAGGCACGCCATAAAAAATTTACTGACAAAACAGAGTGCTTGGTGAGCCACTTAACACATTGTTAAATACCATCAGCTTTCTCTGCTTAATACTCAAGATTTTGTTTTTGAAAATACTGATTTTTTTTTTTGTCTCTACAGTATATTCTTTACTAGAGCCGGCAGTTTACAAGAGTCAGTAACAGAGGAAAAGAGCCTCCACCCAAATATTTTTTAACCAATTCCTCAAAATATATGTGCCAAAACTGGATGGAAAAAATCTGTTATTTAAACAAGAGTGCAAGAGTAACACTTTTGTGCTGCTTATCCTCTTCATCTATCCACAAACCAACTCCTTTTTAGACTTTCCTAAATTAGGACACAGTGAACCTGCAGCCCAGCACAGCAGGGTGAGAAGCCCAGACGGGCTGCAGAGCCGGCCAGGAGCCACCGAGGGGCCCATCACCTTCTGGGCAGGTTGCAGTGGCACCCTGAGGGCTTCCAGCAAACGACAGAGAAATTTGCAATCTGAGCTGTAAACTTCTTTGGGTAGCTGAAGGATGTCATTTGATCTTTCTTTTGCAAAGTGTAATGCAATCAGGTTGGCAAGGTTAGGTTCAGGGCCTGAGATTTGGGAACACTCCACAAAAACAAATGCTGCAATCAGGCTTCCAGCCTCATAAATATCTGCTTTACAATTACAAAGTGACAGCTGTGAAAATTTATCAAAATATTGTCTCCTTTTTCTTTTATATTGTCTTGGAAGGAATGCTGTGATAAATTTAATTCTGTTTATATTTGAAGAGCTCTGGACTGTGTTTATCGTTAAACTGGCACCTGGTATTTTTTGGCCATCCAAAACATTTCCTTCACTCACAACGCTTGAGAGAACAAATAGGCACAACATTGATAACTACTCTGCAATATGGCAATACTCTTACCTCTTATTGTCTAAAAATACTCATTCAAATATATCAGAATTCACTGGATAATAATTGCATTTTAAAATTAATTCCACATATGAGACACTGATCATGCTTTCACACCATGTTTCAACCAAAATAGAAATTTTACAGAAGAAAGGGAACAACAGCTACAGTAACTTTCAGCTGTATTCACCCTGTTGAGCTCTTTTCCACAGGGAAACAGAATTGTGATGATGCAGTAACTTAAATATGGTTGTTATGAATCAATAAATCTATTGCACCTCTGTGAATTGTGTCATAGGCAACACATAAGCTTAGAACTGTATTTTCTGTTCTGAAGGAATCCTGGTTTTTAGAGTGATCATTTAACATTTTAGATTCTCTTACTAAGGTACTCCCTTTTGTGAGTCAATAACTACAACATCTGAATAACCCAGGGAAAAAACACTAAGGCCGCTCCTCTCAAGTGCCCATAAGGAATATTTTGCACAGGAAATACAGGAAACTAATTAGAAAGCAGGATAGTAAACACGCAAATTCTTGCCCTGCTGATACCCAGCAGAACTATCTGCTGCTGCACAGGAGGACCATTCAGTGATGAAAAGTCTTGCTCACGGGTCTCCAGTGTAGCTGCAGTCACAGGTACAGCCCAGCAGCACCCTGCTGCTGCAGAGCCGTGAGCTTCACTGTGCTCAAGCCAGGCTTTCTGCTTGAATTCAACTGAGCCTGTGTCTTGACATACAACAACTAAATGCCCACAGGATCAGAACTCTGGACTTCAACTTTGAGCAAAAACCAGCAGCATTTAACTAAACATATCTACTGGTTTCTGCAAGAAGCCATGATACTGAGTAGTCAAATGAAGCCAATGGATAAAAGAACTCAGAAGTGGATACACAAAATCAAATCTTGCACACAATTCCCACGGAAATTTATGGGACATGAGGACAGACTTAAATGAATCATAACATCAATTATTAATAAATTGATATATACTTTATTATGCACAAGAGACTAAGATGACATGACACTGTGGTTATCAAAACTGTACAACTATGCATTTCCACAAGGCTCTGAAATACTGAATGCAATACGAAATACAAATGGGGTGTTCAGACTGGCCACAGGTTTTAGCAAGTAAATTTCTCCCATTCTTTGATTAAAAAAAAATCTGGCATTTGCATTTAAAAGAAATATACTTATTTATTTAAAGGTGAGAATATTGTGTTTGGAACTGGCAGGACATGGCAGCGAAGATCTGATAACGCTATGAATGTCCCAATGAATGGCAAACAACAACAGGGCACAACAGTCACCTCACATGAAGGGCTGTAGCACAACCAACAGTACAGTCTTCTTGTGAAGCATGAGGTAGATATACATAACAGAAAGAACATACACGAGAGGAATGGTTAGGAAAGAGCAGGGGGAAAGTTACAATCATCAGCATCTACAGACATTTTGCAAAATACATTTTCATGTGGGAAATGCTACAAAAATAGCCTAACACAGAAGATTTGATCTCTTGAAACACAAATGTAATAATGTCCAAAACCAAATAATGTAAAAGATTAGAGTTAGTGATTAGACGACACATGACAGAACAAGCAGTACTTGGGAGTTTAAGTATCCTACTAATAGCTTTTACAGGCAGAAGGTGTCCATTTTAAGCCCAATCCTCCCAATCTAACATAAGTTCCTTTGCACTTGATTCCATCATGCTGAAATTAACCACTGACTCCATCCATCCAAACCCCTGCTTTAACACCCTCTGCTGGCACAGGAGAGTCTCCCTGGCCTTCCGGCCCCCACAGGGCTCTGCCATGTGAGTCCAGCGCGGTGAAACCCCGTGGGGCAGAGGTGGGAATCGGTGCCTCAGCAGTCACACATTCAGGAGCTGCCACACCACACACAGAGACTGGCAGTGGTGACAAATGGCTGCTATAAAACCAGAGCCTAGAGATGTATCAGGCTCTGAGCTGAGGGCAGCTCAACAGCTGCTGCAAACACACTTCTGTTATTAAGGTTATTCACTGGGAATGCCTGGGTTTGGTTCTCTCTCTTTATTGAAGCAAAAATGACTCTTCCATCTGCTAAGCCATCATGTGCTATTTTGGTAAACTCCAACAGACAATTAACTCAGGTGTATTAAAATTGCTGAATTAAATAGCTGAATATATCAAGTTCAGTTAATTTAAACTGTATTTCACACACAAGTCAACAAATCAAATCTTTGACTTTATATATTTTTGGTTTATCCAATGGTATATATAAATCTGTAAATTATTCTAAAATTAGATTAATTTTTTGATAAAAAATTGATAATGCAGCATGTTTCTCTCAAAAATATACAATTATCTATTTTACACAGAATTTTTCAACCTGTCCATCCCAACAACCAAATCTAATACTTCCTATGAGAAACTACTTAATAAAATATTTGAGGAAGGAAAGGGTTAAAATGGGGAAAGGAATTTACAAAATATGTAAATTTCACAGTAATTGAAATTAAACATTTCATATAGAGTAACTTACATTTATCTAAAACATTTAAATATATCTTTATACAGAAATTTAATGTAGTAAAATATAGCTATGATTGAAGTTAAAGACTCTAGTCTTCTTTGAAGACATCTTTAAAGACTTTACACATAGAATATGCTTTAACAATACATTCTGCTGAAGGTTAGGCAAAGCGCTTTCTTTTCAACCACACAGGCAGCACATTCATCCTCCCTACGGCTCGGAGCAGAGCTAGTCCTGCACACCCTTCTGCACGGGGGTAACCACGCCTACACGACACCCTGTCCACAGCACCAGGACTGCTCACTGGCCTGTAACATCAAATATTTTTGCATGTGTAACTCTAAGGCTCCCCTGCCTGCACAGACACTGAGACCAGCCCTGGTTCAGTGTCGAGCACGTGTTTCCGATAGTGAGGACAAAGCATGCAGTTCCCCATTTGCATAGGTTTGCAGGATTGGTAACAGATTTGATTTAAAGTGAGTAACACTCTGCCTGATCCTGGGCACTTAAATCTTTGCATATGTTGCACTTGGACCATCCTGGCATCAGCAAGGCACAAGTGTAGAATCAGCAAGAAATCTGCAGCTCAGACTTCTGGGCAGACTATCACTCAAGTGTAGTGAAGTCCCTTCCTCTTTTGCAGAACACAGGTAACCTTCACTACAGCTAATGAAAGTTATTAATCCCATTTTTAGACGAAAACAATGCTCTCTCTTCCTCAAAGAAGGATCAGTAGAACACATTACAAAGTGGCAAGTAACAGTCAAAAGTGTTAAAAGTGTCTTTTCTTGCTTTTTGTTGTGCATCAATTCGAAGGTGAAGATAAGGCAATGACACTAAAAATAGTGACAATTAGTATCCTTCTTGCATTTCCATATTCTGATACTACTTTTGGACTATCCAATCATAACGTTCATACAACAGTTTGACACAAACAACTGCACAACTATTTTCAGAGGACAGCAAACAACAGGCACTATTGTCCTTGTGCCCTTAAACTCATCTCTTATTTCAAAGAGAATTTAGGCTAGCTAAAAGATTGGAATCAAATCAACCTCTTTCTCTCACCTATCTACCTATTATATATATAAAATTTAAAACTGTATTTTCAGTTTATCTATATTTATGGATTATATGTTTATGTAAGGAAGGAATGCTGTGCTAATTTCCAATTGGTAGTTAGGCTGTGTATACCTCGATATATGTATCTATTTGCATAAAGACATTGCCCTTAAAGGTACACACCCATCCATTTAGTGCACAAGATTTTGTCTTAATGTTTGTGTGTGCCTGTATTTGGTATAGAAGATCAAAAAATCTCTTATAAAAGAGCTTTGGCCCATAAAACAAGAGGGAATGTTAGAGTGTGCTCTTTTCAAATCACCAAATCAATGACTATTATAACAAAAATACCTGGACCAAACCTGAAGCTGCAAGCACAATAAGAAAGCAAATGAGATGCTCTAGCTGTAAGCTGAAAAAACAAAGATTATTCAAAAGAGGATAAATGTAGCTGAATAATAAAATGTTATTTACCAAGGAGATCTGACATTGATGTTTTCTTGCTCAGAAAAAGAGAAATCCTTTGACTTATAATCATCTTTGTTCTTCTTATCTTATGTAGTGATAGGACAAGGAGTAACGGCTTTAAACTGAAATAGGGCAGATTTGAATTAGATATTAGGAAAAAACTCTTTACTATGAGGGTGGTGAGGAACTGAACAGATTGCCCAGAGACGTTGGGATATCCCATCTCTAGAAGTATTCAAAGGCACATTGGATGGAGCTTGAGCAACCTGGTCTAGTGGAAGGTGTCCCTGCCCACGGCAGAGGGTTAGAACTAGATGATCTTTAAGATCCCTTCCAGCCCAAACCATTCTGTGATTCTATGACTGAATTCCCTTAATGAATACCTTGTGTCAATGAGAAGGTTCAGGGAAAGGAAAAAATCGTATAGACAAAGCAGCATTTTTCCAAACTGGCATAGATTTCACATTGAGGGCCCACAGACCCCTAGAACAGGTTGCAGTACTGTAAAATTAGTAGCTTTGTCACATGTAGAACAACGTGCTAACAAGATCCAACAGGCTGTGTTCACTCATGCATTGTGTGCTCATATACACACTCACACACACAGTGGCTTCCCCAAAGAAAATCAGTCTTTTTTTTTTTTTTTTTCCCCATAGAAAAATCCCTCCTAATTTTTTTCAGAAGCAACCAAACCAATCCTTTCAACGTTAAGAAGCTGCTGTCCGATGTCCCCACAACACAGTCCTGTGCTGCTCCTCGGCTGTGTCCCCGGGCTAGGTGGCACTGCTGCTGGAGCAGGGGGTGCTCTGTGTGCTGCCAATGCTGTGCGCTGCACTGCTGTTCTCGGAGGCTGGTGGTGACGTAGGGACCTGCTGTCTTCCTGATGTCTCCCCTGAGGGACAGGCAAGAGAAAAAGTGGGGTCAGGAGAAGGGAAACTGAAAATGTCATAAAAAACAACAATCCATTTCTTCCCAGTCTTCCCCTTCTGGTGGTTTGTTTTCCCATGCAATTAATATATTGGGTAACAGACCTTTATTGGAGTATCTCTGAAAACATTATTAGACGTTGGCACCTAAGCATTAAGCTCTGCACATGGGGAAAATAACAGCACTGTTTCCTTGAGCATTTTGCAAGCAGCTGATGGAATCTGCCAAGATTAACATTGTCTATCTTCTGTTGTCAGCTGTCACTCAAAATGGGTCCTATTACACAACTCAGACACTTTATAGCTTTGCTGTTTCCAGGAAAAAGGCCAGGAAATGTAGGCTTTCATTTTAATGCCAGTTTATAGAGCAGCATATTTACTAAAAGTGTACCTCAAAACAATCTTCTTCAATCAGCTGGATACCACGTATCCTGAGACACAGCCAGTTTTCTTCATGTAGAAAAGCAACAGGCTATCCTGAAAGCTTGGCTTAATTTATTTGTAATACAACATGCAGAAAGTTTCCCTATAGCTACCACAGTATGTGCAGCACTTAGAAGCTCTCGTGAGACCATGTCTCACCATTTCTTGTTAACTGTTTACTGACAATAAATTAAAAACCCTTCACTATTCAGACTGCCAAGTCAAGCACTTGGAGTCTCCTCACACCATTTACACCTGTGGCTGGGATTGAAAGGAAAAATCCAGCTGTCAACTAAGCACGAAAGTAATAATTATGCCATTTAATGCCTGAAAGATCATAATAAGGCCACATAGGAAACCATCACTGTGGCATTTTTAAAGTTACAGTGCTCAAGTCTGTAACATTAGCAATATTACAAAATAAGTCTCTTCAAAACAGATGGCAGGACTTAAGTTTATATAATGTGAACTGTAGCTACCCTCTCCCTTGAGCTCATCTCCAGCATGTGAGCCTGTGATCTCAGTGCAGGAACAGTCACACTGCTGCTGCCTGAGCTGCAGACCTGCCGTGGCAGCCAGCAGCAGCACAGCTGCTTTCCCAGAAAAGAAGGAAGACAGAAATGATTTGTGGAATCATGGGCAGAGCAATTAGGAAAAATCGGAGGCTGGTACATCTCCTGCCTCATGAGTTTATGGTGACACAGCTCTCCTGCTCCACATTATCCTGTGCTATCCAGAACCTGATGCCACGTGTCATATCTGCACAATCTAATTTTTCTTCCATGTTCAGGATTTGGTAGAGATCCCACTTCCCAGTGACTGCTTCAGTGACAGGCTGAAAGCTGGAGGCACAGCCTGCATCCAGAGGGCTACAGTGCAAGGACGAGCCAGCTTCCTCCCACGGGAGCTGCTCTGGCACATCCCCATGCCCTGTGTGCTGCTGCCCAGCTGCCAGAGCCTGAGCTTCTCGGAATGCGGCTGCAGAGGAAATGCGCCTTTAACACTTTGTGTCTCAGGCCACAAAATATCCTTCTTCAGGCTGCCCAGTACTCAGAGGTGCTGCAAACAAAAAGGGAGGTCTGAGGATTTCTCACAGCAGAGGTTGCAAGTGCTCTGTGTAATGGAGACCAGCAGATGTGCTGTTAGCTCAAGCCACAGCCACAGCTGAAGTGCACTTAAGGCCCCACAACACACAGCTCTTGCCTTACACCCCACTGGTTTAGGAATCAGGAGGAAAGAAAGGGCAGGACAGGACAGAAAAAAACAACAAACTGAACTACTAAACCACACTGCCCAGGAGGCCAAATAAACTTTTAAAAAGAGGGTGAAGATCTTGTTTTTAAATTCAGCATTCAGTCCAGCGTTTTACTCTAGTGAGCAGATTTTGAGTCCTGTTTTTCCCAGTGTAAGAAATAACTATTGTAGCTCATATATGAGCCATCGATTTCTGCTCATAGGCAGCAGGTCAGAATCTACCCCCAGTCATCTGCAAAAAACCTCAAGTTTCAGCTTTAACTTGCTTTGGAAATGTCTTTGCAACCCCCCAGAATAAACAGTATCAAATCAAAGTATGTGTCATCATGCTGTACAGGCTTTCATAAGCCTTGTTTGGATGTTTCTTCCCCTCCTGACTTGCTCCCTTCTCCTCCCGTTGTTTGTGTACATGTTTTCCTTCCTTTTGTACTACAGGATATATTTATCAAGGCAGCGATAAGCAAACTCCCTTTCAATAAAACTAAACAAGCGGAGACAAACATCAGAAAGCAGCGAGGCGGGCTGCAGACCCCAGCTCCCCGCAGAAGCCGCTCGGGCGGCAGAGGAAGGGCGGCCCTGGGCTCCCCTGGCGGGGCCCCCGGCCCCCGCTCTCCCTGCAGCTCCACTGGCACCCCTTTTACAGACCACATGGCTGCACACAGCTTTGGTCAGCCTCGGCACACCAATACAGTCTGTATGCATTTAAACATAAATTCATTTATAAGCCAAACACATGCTGTTTTTATTTTATGGTAAAGTGAAAGAGCAGTGCCACAGTCCCCAGCAAGCCCGATGGCTCACACTCTTCTCCTGGCTCCTCTGGAAAGTGTCCTAGGAGGCACCCTCCCTTCTGTTTGGGTTGGAAGGCCTCTTCCTTCCACTGTAATGGCCTCTGCAGCACTTCATTTCTAGAGCACATCAGCAGCTCTGATCCACCACAATCGCTTCTTGAACAATAACAAATTCTCTATGTTCTCAAGAAAAAAGAAAATCCAAATCACAGTGATGTTATGAACGCACAGCCTAGCAACTACATCTGGACTGGCTGATTTTCCCTGTATTTTATTTCCTCAACACCTAGCTAAACCCTAGCAAAGCTTTTTTAAAAAGACTATTCAAGAAAAGGATGTAAAGAAATGTAAATTATCACTGAAGAGGCATTCTCCATCTTTCTTTTTCACATAAACAGCTTCATGTATCTCATATTACTGAACCAAAACTGCTCAGAATGGACACATCTCATCTATTGACAGTAAACAAGCTTTTACCCATCTGAACGCAACAACATGCATTTTATTATTCATGCTTAGGAAAGCTGCCAGTTGTACTCCCTGTCCAGGAAGTCTGAATGTTTGCTTTTCTATCTCCATTTGCCAAATATAATTGGTTGCTATGTCAGTTTGCTTTAAATCAGAGTTCATAAAAAAGGGAGAAGTGGGGGAGGAGGGACACTTTTAACTTCTCAGATTTTGGAACACTTTATCCTCTTAATTTGCAACACCGCCTGAAGAAGGGAAGCGTACTTCCTAAGAGAATATAGGGACGGATGTTTTCTTTAACACACTTTATAAGGTTTAACGGTCGCATTAACTAATCAGGCTTGTGCCTGTCTCTCCTAAACACACTCAATGAACCCTACTAAGACACGTATTACTTTGATACATATTTATATGGTTAAATTATTAAGAGTTTCTGCATTCATGCACACTGCAAAATTTTTTCTTCTTTACAAGGCCCCTAGGTAAATGAGGCTAATTGTGGCAAATGTCTGGCATTTCCCTTAGTTCTTGGGTGCTCTCCAGGCAGCACCAACACCTTTCATGCCCTTTAACAGACTAGAGAAATGATCAAAAGTAGAGTCTTTTTGCAGACAAGTCAGCTAAAATTCCTCCTCAGTTGTTCTGATATTACTTTTCCCCCTCTCTTCTCTTACTACCTGGACATCTCTACTCCATGTGGAATTGCTTCAGAAACATCTAGAATTTTCTAAAGCACAGCTTTGATACTTTGGCAGAAATTTTTCATGACTGAAATTAGCAAAAGCCCTACATGACAACACAACAATTGTTGCTCAGTATCTGGAGATGAAATTTTACCTATCTATCTATCTATCTATCTATCTATCTAGTTCCTTTCTGCTATCACTTGCTTGAGGTTTTAATGCCAATGGCCTATCAAGACAAACAAAAAACATTCTTGTAACATTTTCTTTGTTAGCATCAGAGGCACACTGATAAAATTGTATCAGCAAATCTTACTACTAGCAAAAAGGTGGCCTTTTGCTGCATTGCACATAGCACAACAGCTAAAAAAAACCAACTTTACACATCCCAAGCTGCCATTCTCTACCAGCAGTAGCTTTTATCTGTGCTCTGAGTATCAGCAAAATTGAGTTTTAGAATGAACTCATATTTTCCAACCTTTTGTCTAAACCATGTGTGGAAACCCAGTACTACTTACAACAAAAGATGCGATTTCAGAACACGATTCAGCAGTGCATAAATTATCTAATGGCAAAAGGGAGCCACTCTGTAGATGAAATTTGGATTATCTTTTTTTCTTCCTCTCCTCAAGTTAATAAAAGCCTGCAGCAAGCTCTAAAATGTTTCCACTGCAGCTGGATTATCTTGTCTGCCACAGCAGTTGTCCTCTAAGAGGCTGCGCCTGCCAGAGCCTTTGCTGCACTCTGCTGCAAGTTATGCTTTGTAGATACAAGACACTGCACAGAAAAATTACGTGCACAGGAACATAGGTGCAGTTTCACAATCCTTTGAAAATCTGAACCAGAAAACTTCCTAGATGTTCTCTAATCATTTCTGTGATTCTCTAATCTGATAAATTACAGTGTCCCCTTTCTTTCTTATATTCATTTATTACTTTTTGTCTGACCTTTTCCTCCACTTGTTTTCATCTCTCAAACACAAAGGCAGAGCAGCTGTCCTCTCCACTACTTGTATGTGGTCACCATGACTGATGTACTTTGCTAATAGAATTCTTTTAACAAGATTGTTCCAAGTTCTACTATTGCTGAAGGATTTATCATGTTGGCTTTCAGTGTTCCTTGAGTACTCACATACAACGTGCCTATAGATGGTTCTGTATGTGAATACAGATTGAACTTCCACAAATGCAGGACCAAAGGTATTAATTTAACAATTAGTTAATCTTTTTTTGTTAATCAAGGTTACCGATATGGGAATTACTTAACTTCCCACTTACTCACTGAAACAGTACTTACTTTTCTTCCACAATGCTTCAGTACTTATATAAGACAGAATTATACAATTTATACATATTATCACAACCTTTAAGTTTTCCATGTTTGCTTCAATTTCAAACACGTTTCACACACAGCTGATGCACTGAGAAGTATTAAACTGCTTATACAAAAATTGTTGCACTGCCAATTGGAAAAAATGGCATAGTTTTTATTTCCAAATTAACATAAGCTTCTAGGTCATAATATTTACAGAAGCTCTGACCCAACAGGGCCGGATTCTCACTCCTAAATAGCTTCCATGAGGTTTCAGATGCCAGAAAAAAAAAACCCTGCAGTGGGCTACAGGCAAATTTCAATGCTCCAGAGCTGCACAGGCTTGGAGTAATTTGCCTCACATTTTTCCCACCTCCCAGATCTTGGTAGAGTCTCATAAGGCCAAAAGTAGAAGTAGTTGGGAGCCCAGAATACTCTAAGGATCCTGAGATACCCTATAATCCACAAGCAGCCAAGGTCACATGTTGGAAATTAAGGCTCCACCAGTGTCCAGTCCTTGTCTGGGCCATGCAACAGAAAGCTCCCCAAATGCTCTCTTCTTTCAATACAGTATTCCATTTTGCTAATTTAGTTTAGCATGGGAAAAAATTCTGAGACACTGCAAAATTATTTGTGATTAGAGGCTGCACCAATTCAGACACATTCCTAAGTATTTGGTTGCACACAATTAAGATTACACGTGACTTCTAGCAATTGAAAATAGTAGTTGAAGAATGAAGGAATAAATAATTGTGGAAAAAAATTCTATGTAATCAAGGCCTAAGAAAAATGTTCAAGTTTAGTTATACTCAGAATATGTCTGTTCAGATAAAGCATTCTCTTAACCATTTGGCCCACATCTTGCACACATCAGCCTAATGTAGTAACTGCAAAAAAACCAAAATTTAAAAGTAGTACGGGAACCAAAAGGGATCCATTAACTGAAATATTCTTAAATTTGAAATACAGAGATGTTACAAATGATAAAACACAAGCCAGAAATACTCAGTTTTACTCATGTCCCAGGTGAGTTTTCAAGACTTATGTTTAAAATTATTTAAGCAAATTTTAAACCATAACACGTAACATCTCCCTTTAGGGAAGGGTGGGTATCATTCGGCAGATATGCAGTAAGGGCTCATGGGAGGAGCTGCTGGAAAACTCCTGAGTAAGAAGAGAGAGCAAGGAAATAGCAAAGCCCAGGGTAACAGTGGTGCTCGCTGCCCTCCCTCCCTGGGCAGCGGGTCAGAGGAGCCCGAGCCCGGCCTGGTACCTGTGCGTGAGTAGATGAACCAGAGCGCTCCGGTCAGCAGGGCTCCGATCACGAACGCCGCGAAGGCGATGCCCACCACCGTCAGCGTGTCCAGCCCGTACAGCGCGGCTGCTCAGGGAAACACACAACACAGGCACTTCTTATTTACAGAGGCAGATACCGTTCTACAGAAATCCACCCTTACTCTTTCATGGAAGAGCTTTTTGAAATTTCACAGTTAACTAAGCACTGCTTTGAGAAACAGACCAGCAGATTTGCATCAAAGAAATGAAAATGATGCTTTCAGAGTGGCTTCAGTCCAACCAACTGTTCCACATCACAAAGTAAAATTCCAGCTCAGCACACCCAAATCTGGAAAATGTTGCACAAATTAAGCATTTTTGGTTGGCTGTTAATAATTTGCTTTCAATTAAGTATTCATTTATATTTAAAATGTGTTTTAAAAAGGCTGAAATGTTTGGCAAAAATTTTTCATTTAAATAGCCTAACATTCAAGCAAACTTTCCCCTACATCTCCTCAAGTTCAGTCTGAAATCTAGGTGGAGAACGGAACTGCTGTTAAGAGGGAAGAGATGCCAGTAAAAAGTCAGCGAAAACATAAATAGAAACAATTGTTTTTCACATTTGGCAACGCTTTCAATAACTGAAATTAATTCCAGATCACAAAAATAGAAGCACACGTAAATCACTTTCTAGGGGAGTCGCCCTTTTGTAGGACCATTTCAAGGGTCACAGCATTTGGTTCCTGGATGTATTGTCCTCCAGTGATAAACATCCAAACAGAAAAAATTTTGGCCTGTGTTTTTCTTTTTGATTATTACAAATAATTTTAAAACTAATAATAATTCTGATATCTTTTAGGGAAATTCCTTCTTAAAAAACTGATTTCTAGTTTTAACATTTTTCATATATCCGAGTGTACAAAATTGCTTAGTCCAAGGAATAATATTTTACTGACTATGCTGGCCAGGAAATGAGCTGACTGGATCTTAGTAGTATCCTTCAGTGGAGTTTTCAGTTCTCAGAACACAACCAACACCCTCACTTCACACATCCTGCATCCAGCAGATGTCCCTAAGGACATTCCTCATCCTCTTTTGACAAAAGGCTTCTCCAGCAGCTCTTGTTGGCAGGAGCCTTCAGGACACATTTCTAGGTATTTGTGGCCTAGCTTGCATATACCACACCTGACAGATAGATAGTGTCTTAGAGGCTTTTTCTTTCATTTTTTCTACTACACTGTTTCTGGTTCCTTCAGCTACTTCTAGTCATTCAAAAGCAAACACAAAATACTAAATTCAACTGCTTTTTCCACCAGGCACCAGTCAGTGTCCTCTCCTCTCAGGAGGAAACACAATGGAGTGAGGAAAGTTTCATGGAGAAGTGGCAGAAGCAAATTGCTCACTGCTTTTGCTATTTTGAACAAATTTTGTCTTGAAGGCACAGGGACAGAAGCAAAAGAAAAACCTTTGCAATTCATCTTTAAATCTCCTTTTTTTCCATTCATTCTTGCTTTTGGCTACACATCATCTGCACCTTCCTGTTTATTTTTTTTCTGGTGCTGTTTCTCTCCTTTTGTGGGTCACTAATTGACCCTGATTAATTCACTACACCAAGCTAACATTAAAACCAAAGAAATTAATCCATATCAAGGCAGTGATCTCATCTAAGCATGGCCTGTAAGTGCTGGTACTGGAACACCTGGTGCTGTGGTGCAGGACAGGAGTGAGGCTGAAATAGGGCACAGGTAGGGCACAGAAGCTCTGAGGGATGGCACTGCTGCTCTAACACTGGTGTTGGCCTCAGCAGAGAGGGGGAGATAACACACACACCAGCACCTGAACTTGCTGAGGCTGAGACTCTTGCTGGTGTTTCCCCAAAGCTGATTTTCACATACACAAAAGGTCACAGTCCTCCTCTGAATACTGATGGGAACCTCCCAATCAACAATACAGCCAGAATTCTGTTCTGTCTCTGAATTAAACATGCACACACTCAGAAAGCTTAAAGAGAATTCTCTTAATTTATCTAATGCTTTGTAAAGAAACATTTAAAGATTAAAAGAGATTGGTTTAAGAGTTACTTACGTAGCTGTCTCACATTTGGCTTTGGAAAGGAAGGATCTAATTTAAAAACAAAGAAAATTCACAAAATATTAATCAGATAGAGTTCCACATACAGCCTACAAACTATGCAGGTTCTGATCTGACAGAAAGACATTAACTGTAATTTTTAGAAACCATGAATTTCAAGAGAAGCAGACCAAATTCAGTAATCTCATTCATCTCAGAAAAATTCTATTTATATATTAATTATTCCTCAAGGGACTCTATCTAGAGTATAGTTCATGCACCATATATTTTGCTGGCAAATACACTTCAACCTTTCCCAAAACAGATGTCATCAGGCATGACCCACAGTAACTCTGGTTACCCCTCTGTGGAACTCTCAAAGTTCACAGATTGTGAAGGAACAAAGATTGTGTTAAGGAGATTACATTCATCTGACCTCTCACTAATCATAAATATGAGATACCAGCATACTAAATCGTACACACACACAAAAGCACACATTCATTAAGGAATAGTGAGTTTTGTAGCACAATACATATTGCTTTGTCAAAATTGCATGTATATGTGTTGATTCACCTATTTTCCTGAGTCCTACATGGTATTCTGTCTTGGAAGTTGTGTGGGTTGGAGTTTTTTTTGGGGTTTTTTTGGTGTTGTTGTTGTTGTTGTTTTTGGTTTTTTTTTTTTTTTGGGGGGGGGAGGGTTTTAAAATTTATTATTATATATAAGAAATAAAACATCATAGGTACCATTCAAAGAGCAAAGCTATTATTCTAGGCAAGAATACCAAATATCATCATCCTAGTGATGAAGATATCACCCTGTAACAGAAAGAGACAAATAAATGTTTAAAAAATTAATTCCCCTCTTATTAAGAATTGACCTCTCTTATCTTTCTCCAAGAATGGCACCTCAAACAAAAGAGCTAGAGATTCTGGCTTCAGACTCAGGGACCTGTTTGGTTAGCTGCAGTTTGATTCTGGATTGCCCAGCAACTAAGGGATTTCATTTATATCCTGGCATATCTGAGTGTGATCAGTGGAACAGACACAAAAGGATTTGATAAGACTGTGTTTCAATACTTGTTTTTGTATTTTTAGCAACTGGAAAAATAGTTTAATTAATTTCAATGCAAACATAACAGCCTATGAATACATAAATATATTCATTTATTTTAAAGTGTTCTTAAATAAGACTATGCTTCTAACTTCTAAAACCCAAAACTTTCAGCAATATCCTTTAGACCATTAGGTCCTGAGACACATGTGCCTACAAAACCCAAAAAAGCATTTTATTCTTGAACTGTGTTATTGTGTGTTGTTCTAACACATGAGTATCTCTTGTAGATCAGTTTTGGCAGATGGTACAAAACAGGTGGAACAGTAGTGGGAAACAGGTGAGGACATAGAGGGGTGTGTGGGATGGTATATGCACAAATAATCTGGAAAGTTATCAAGTGCACATAACAGCAAAAATATAACTGAATGTAAGATCTGCAAGGAGGGCTGGACTGAAACCAAGGAGCACTGAAAAGTACAAACATGGGTAAGGGCACTGTCAGATTGCCCAAACACTCCACTGGCATATCCCAAGTGCCAAGAAAATGCCTTCTGAGATGAGGGGAAAATGTATTTTCCATGCTATTTCTATCACTGGCCTCTCCACAGAGAATATGAAATCAGCTAATGATAAGCTGTGTAGCTCATTATCAATTCTCTTCAGACATCCAGTTCTTAAATGTATTTTACTGCAATTTGCTCAGAGCAACTCAGAAGCAGTGAGAATCATTGAGGTCTACAAAAAACATCCAATTTAAGAACAAGTGCTGCCAGCCTTTGGAATTATCATTATTTTCTATACCTTTGTAGGATAGAGGCACTTGTTAATTACCCTTTTGACCTTCTTTCTGTGACCTGTCTCTTTTTGCTATAGAACTAATAATCTAAAGTTTCCACACTTAGCAAAAATCTGAACAACACTGGTAGATTATTTCAACAGAACATGTATTTCCTGGCATATAAATGGGGAAAGACAGGAATGCAAAAGAAATGTGTGTGGCATGGAGTGAGGGTTTAAACCCTTCCATTTGGATCCACTGCAAATTCTCACTTAGATATAGTATTGTGATTTCTAATACAGGCAATGACAGTTATAAACTTGTCAGAATTAAAAAATCACGTTAGCAATGACCAGTTTGTTCTGACTTTTGAAATGTCAAGCACATGACTTTCCCATGTGGCTTGATAAGGAGAACCAGGGGCAGTACCTCACAGAGTGATTTGCAAGAGTGAAAGCTGGTTCTGTTCACATCAAAAAAATGAAGAACACTACCTCTGAGAAGTAAATTCTCCTGTTCAATAATGTGATATAATTTCTTCTCCACATCTTAGGTTCACAAATGCCAACAATGGCATTTGGCCTTAAGAAAGGGGTTTTGATTCACCGCAGAACAACTGCATACCAACAAAGCTACATTGTTAGTGTGCCACTTTGTATTATGTCTGAAAGCTGGGATATGCTGGGGAGATTTCCACCAAGCCTCCTACAATTATACCAAATCACCCACAATGCAACAAAATACTCTATCACACTGTTGTCTTGTAAGTAATCTTTATAAATTTAGCTTGTCTTTGCACACTGAGACCTTGTGCCTCTGACAAAGACAACATTCTGAGTGGAGCCCGAGATGGAAGCTGTGCACAAAGCTCCACACATCATAAGGACAAGAGAGATGAAGTACGTGTCTGTTTAGTGAAAGACGAATTTCAGTTGCAGGATTTACTCATCCCCATTAGAAAACCTACTGAAATAATATGAGAGCTGAGCAAAATGGAAGTCCAGATTCAGGCCCAAAGCACAGTTTTAATTGTAACAGTGACAGATCAAATACTTTAATTGGTCCGTATTTACAGTTGTGTTAAAAACCCTCTGAACTAAATATGAGCTGACTTGCAGAGTTAGACAGAAACAGTTGTTGCCTATGTCCCTGTGCTGTATTTGAACTTTAAATTTCTCAAAAACTAACAGCATGCACTGTAAAACAGAGATTAAAGGACTCCTGATCACCATCCTTTTGATGCTCCCTGAAAAGAATTCCAGAGGTCAAACAGCCTTTGGACACCATTGGAAGATCTTTATGTGTATAGGAAGCCACTGAAGCTTCTTATGAAACCTCAATGCAAATACAAAAAAAAAGATAAATGAATGTATTTTCTTCCAGGACTGCATCAAAACATGACCGAGGCTCTTGTCAGAGTGATCTACTAAGAAAAACTTTTTAATTAAATAAAACTGAGAACAGTTCTTACTTCCCATCACTCACAGGGCATATTCTTAAACTAGAATAAGGTCTCATCATGCTGTTTGGCATTAGCTCATAATGCACTTCAGCTTCTCCAACTCCTTCAATCTGTTACTAACCATACTCTTTTTTTTTTTTTTTCCAAGAAAGATTACATAATCAAACAAGTCCCACCAAAGTGGAGCCCCTTTGTGCATACTATCCTTTGTTCTTCATAGTTTAAGAATCTAGTCAGACTCCAGGGGCCACCTCTTTGTCTTACTTAGTCAGCTTTAAGATCCTCAATACTTTGCAATTCTATTGTTATTATTCATAAACATATATTTACAAGGACAATAAATAAAGGACACACAGCAGGGAGTAGATGACTGCCTTTGATCTCTGGGCAACAAGAAATTGCTCCAAGTGCTACTGCTACATTCATGCTTCCCAAACCCATGTTATTTTGTACTGCTCTGAGTATTCCTGTCTTAATGCTTGGCAAACCCACATGTCCAGAGAACACTAATGTGGCTAAAAAATGGCTACAACTTGGCCTGATGACTGCTGCAAGGGAAATGTCCCAACAAGTAACATCTTACAGGCCACAAGATTACAGACATCTTACCACCACAAGATTATACAATGTCACATACTCCCTCATTTCAAGTGACTGTATGTTACACCATAGTCTATATATACAGCATTATTAAACAGGTCAAGCTCATTTTTATACCTTCTTGTTTTCCTTCATGTGTTATTACAACAAGGGGCTTGGTGAAGGTTTTCTTGTTGTGCATCATGGCCAAGATCATATCCACATTGAGAGAGGTGCAAGCTTCATCAGGAGGAATGCACTGGAGTGCAAAGAACAGAGGTCAGAGTCACCCATCTGCCAGGACAGCTTTGCCAGTGGCACAGTTGCCTCATAACTAGTTTTACCCTACACAGTTTACCAAAAAATCAGAACCTCCAAACAACCGTATCTTTTGTAGCAATCAGATTACAATATTAACCAATATGGTGCACGCCTTTGGAAATTAAAGCTAACATTATTTGCGCTTTGGATATGCATAGAAAATATAAACTTGAACCACTTCTGCAATAAAAAGCAATTTCTATTTGTAGACACCTAAAGAAATTTAAACAGCAACTGCAAATTATGTAGTCAAAATGCACAGTATAATAACTCTTATCTACTAAAATTCTGAGCCTAGAGATATCATGTTCATGAGACAATTCCATAGAAAACTATTTATTACCCTCAGAGTTCAGATTAAAAAATACATTGTTTTAATCTAAATCAGAAGTTTTGATAAATTTGATTAATTACTGACCTTTGGCAGTCCTTGAGTATCTTTGCCTTTATTTGCACACAAAGTCAACTCACAGTGAAGAAAGAGCAGTGAGATGTTGAACATTGGTTTGAACACAAAGCTAAATCTTTTTCTGTCCTTCTGTGCATGTGATATTGGAAAATTCTTTTTCTCAATACTGTAGAATTTAACAGATTCATCTTTAGGACAAATGTTTTCTATAATGGTATAGTCAGACATTCTATCTGGATTTGAAAACGGGGAAACAAAGCACGTTTGAATGGCAAAGCCTAGCGATCTGTCAGCTTTAGTCACAGACACCTGCATTAAAGAAAGAGACAGTAAGATCTTAGAAATGACATTTTTAGTTCACATTTCATTAATATTTTCAACAATTTTTAAAGCACTTTTCCAGTGCCATTTCCAATCTGAAATATTTTGAAGGCTAAATCTTAAGGATAAACTGTCAAACTGAGAGACAGAAAATCTGTGGTTTTAAAACCAGCAGCTGTTTAATAGCATAACCATGCATAAATACAGCAATTCCTTATCTTTCTGAAAGCAGATGAAACCCGCCCCCCCACATAAGAACACACAGTTAATGTCTGTGTCTGCCACCTGAGATGGCACTGCCTCCCTTAGACAAACAGACTATAACAGAGCTGTATGGAAATCAATCACTAATTCCATGGTTTTGTATCTGTTCAAAATTATAATGAAAAGAGGGAAAAAAAAACCAAAAAACAACCAAAAACAACAGACACAGAGAATCCGCCCCTAGCCAAGACAGGAATGCAAAGGCAGAGAGGAGGTCATGGTCTGACGTGTGGGTGGCATTCCTGGGCTGGAGGGGGTGAGGGAGCCTCCTAAAAAGCCATAATTTCTTGTGAAAGGATCCTTTTAGCTTATTGTAAGTTTGAAATTCATATCCTTTTATGAAAAATAATTAAGACTAAAAGCCTCCAATGTTGTGATGTTGCTCAGCTGGATTGGAATGCAGGCAATCAATGCTACAGAACAATTAGAAGAAAAAAAATAAATTGAATTTGTAACAAATGAGGCATATTGCTCTTAAGAAACAACAGAAGCATTTGTCTAACCATTAACACTGCCAAATGAAAGATCCACAAGAAATCTTCTTAGAAGAAATGTGCCTCATATGCATATTTAATCCATATGTGCTACTTGTATCTTTAAGGAAGAGCCTGCCAAATTGTGTGCAGTAATTTCTGGATGCTAGGAGTTTTGCTGTGAATAAAAGCATTTCTCCTTTTTTTTATCCCGTATGTAAGCAGCAATCAAATTAGAGATGAAGGGATGTGCTGAAGCATCTAAGCAAGAAGGACTATCTTCTAAAAAGAACAGAAATAAAGATGGATGAACAAAAGTCAGACACAGATACTGACAAGAAGCAAGCTAATGGTGTAAACTAATTAAAAAAATAGATTATGGAAAGTAGGACAGGCATACTACAGCTAATTAAATAAAAAGATTAATGATATCTCAAGGAAAGAAAAGAACCACAGGAGAAAGGTGGAAGATCAAAATATGGTAAGAAAATGACAGCAGAGAAGAAAGAATAAAACTCCAGAATCCAAAAGATTCAAACACAAAAACCCCTTACCAAACAAGGAAAAAGAAGATAAAGAATTTTTACCAAATATGTATTTATCAAAACCCCAAAATATGTTTCTTAGTAACAAATGCAAAAGAGAAACAAAAAAGGGGGGAAAAGATCAGTGTCATCTTAAAAAATGAAGTCACTGAAGTTCAAAACTGATATGTTTTCCACTGTGCAAGAAAGAAAAACAGAAAAAAAGGCTTTTGCCAGGACAGGTGATGAAGAAATCAGAACATCTGTCTGAATAAACAGCTCCAGTGGGCTCAGAGTCAGGGGGATTCATTCCAGATCAACGAAGGAAGTGGATGGTTTTAAGTGTTTGTTATAAAATTATTCTTAACTGAGTGTGACAGACTTTATTTTTGTTTTAGCTGTCTTAAGTACTTTCCACTGGGTAGAGAACAAAGAAATGAAAAAGTACACTAAAATCATGAAGAAAACTGCACCAAATGGGTCACTGTGCTTATCATGTGCAACATGGGCTCCCAAAGAGGAACTGACTTGGGCAAGAGAAACACGGCATAGCCCTGCTGCCTTTTGCTGGTCTTACAACCCCACAGCTCACACCTTGTGATTTACTTGCCTAGAAACTGGCAATGCTTCTTCATTGCCAAAGCTGCATTTATCAATGTCTACCACTATCTGAAAATCAAAAATTTTGTTTACATAGCTATCTTTAAAAATACTGACTGTATTGGTATGAAATTCCACAGATTTCATAAGTAACTCAGCAACACATGGAAATATTGTGCAAAATGTACCTGAAGTCAAGGGTACCCAGCTGTTGATTTTGTTTTAGCATTATTTATCTAAATCTGCTAGATCTCTTATGTGGTAGCATTCAAAAGGATTATCACTGATGTTTTTAAGCAGATTGGAGAGAGACTGTGATCTGTATTAACTGTGTAACCTGAGAACACTAGCATATGAAAGACACACACTTGTAATAATTATTTTGCATGTCTACATCTTTCAGACGAGGTTCAGACATAAAATAAAATTAACCCATCAGGAAATGCCAGTTCAGAGCATGAGTTCAGAAACCACCTTAAAGTTAAGTACGGAAAAGCAGATTTAGCAAGAATCACCCATCTGCCTGGTAAGTTAAATTCAACCATTTTGCAAGAATCCTTTCAGTTTTGTACCCAAAATACTGTCCTACTTCTTATCCCACAGTTTTTGTTCTCTGCAGCCATCAGAGAGACCTGAACCAGCTGCCCAACAAAACCCTTCAACTGACAAGAACAGATTTGGCTCAGTCACACAGCCTTGCAAAACCCTTCTGCTAGTTTGAAGTCTTTTTCAATTTGTTACCTCTACATATACTGGCCCATTCTTGGAAACAGAGAAGAGTCCTTGGGAGGGAGCAAGGAACAAATCTGTTTTGTACAGGTCCATGTTGAAGGTCACATTGGTGATGTGTGGTTCAGGAGGCCAGAAAATGCCTCTGTCATCCTCTGGCTGGTGCAGTGTGCAATTAAACTAAAACGAGAAAAAAAATACAGTCACATCAGGAGTCAGGAGTGACAAATTTCTTATGTACAATATAGGCCCAACCACACTACATCTACTTAGTGCAAACCCTCAACAGGGTCATAATACTGTAGTGAGAAGAAATGTGTTAAGAGACAAATTAATTTCTAGACAATTAATGTAATTTATGTAAAAGCCCTATCACAATAGGTATTTCTTCGCTGTCAGGTGCAAAACCAAGCGTGACATACCGCTATTTCAGGCCAGCTTGAGAAAGCCATCTCTCCCTCATCAGCATCCCCTGGAAATCCATTATCACCTGATTCCATGTCGTCATCTTCAAAACCACTGCCTTCAGCTGGTGCTGACAGCTGAATGACAATCTGCACAGAGAAGGATTGCAAACAAATTAGATTAGGTGATAACCGAGCACTCTCATGGTTATTATTTTCTGCTCTCTTCAGAACAATGCAAAGGCCACAAGAACACCAGCTAAGCAAATGGTGAAAGCATGTCTTGAACAGCCTTGTGCTGAGCTTGTAGGATATGCAGCTTATATTTAAAGAATGCATGAGTTTTTTTTCCAGACTTCAGAGCCAGTGAAGAAAGAACCAGTCTGGGTGTTGGTGTCTGACTGAACAGCCCAGCATTTCCATTCTATTTCTAGTATTTCTATAGCCAACACTGAAAAAAGAAATGGCTTTCTAAAATGATATTTTGCTACTGGCAGTTCTCCTTAGTGGACTCATTAAAAAATCCCAAAAAATGTTAGAGTCACTAAAGGATTTTCTCTTCTGTCATTAGCAATTTTTTTTCAGACATGTACACCCAAAACCATAATATTCCCTCTTCATTTTCTCCCCATTTTTTTTCCACTGAAACCCCCCCCCCCCCCCGCCATTTTTTTAAATCATCCTTTTCACATGTCTTAATTTCTTCACCTGGAAATTATGGATTTGTTTTTCAGTGTTCTGCATTCTGACTCTTTATGCTTGCAGCTTCTCAGATAGTTCCCTCCCTCTCAGGACTTCAACTTTGTTTTCTTAGCAACTGCTAAAAAATGACATACACACACCCTTTGACACTCCACTGCAGGGAGAAATGCTCCCGAATTCTGAACAATCCCATACATGATTCGGAGTTCAACTGTATAGGCAAGACTATAAAAGACATGATGGAGAAAGGAGAGGAGGTAAATAACCACTTTACTTTGGGCCATAATAGAATACAGGGATCATGAGAGTATTTAGCTCCAGACCTGTGCTATTCTGTTGTTTGCCGAAGATTCTATCTTGGTTTGGGACTGTTTCTAAAGTTAGGTGCTACTGACTCCCCAACATAGAACAGTTTTAACCAGGCAAGGTCAGATCAGATTGCCTGAGCAGTGTTTGGGTTGGACCACAGGCTTTCCATCATTTGCTAAAGTTACTTCTATGTACTGGAAAGCTCAGCAAGAGAAACATGTCATTACTTTTGAACCCAGAATATCTGCATTGTCCTCTGGCTCATAAGCTGAGCCAATCTGGAAGCAGTTGATTACAACCTAACTGGGCTCCTTTTCATCATCACTCACATACAATTACTCAAGAGTCCCTTCATTATGTAAAGCAACTGCTAAAAAAATATCAATTCAAATTGTAAGAGAAAAGCAGGCCAAAATAATGTCGTTTTCTCACATTTTAAAAGCCTTTTTTCACATAGAATTTCAGAAGAAAAAGATTTCACTTAATTCAGGGTATGAATTAAAAGCTAGTGCTTTGTGCAATTATAAAACTTCATTCCTATTTCTCTTTACAGCAATGTATAATTGCTTATATATGGATGATCAAAGCTGCACAGGGAACACCAGTGCAACTTCTCCCAGACTGGTACAGATAGTCTCCAAATCCTCTGTTTTCCTTTGGGATACTATCTGATCACAGGAGCACACTGAATGTGCAGCCTTCATACCTCCTTGAATACAGGGACCGTGGTTGCAACTAGGTTTGAGCTAGGCAGCAAAGGATCAGGATGCCTCCTTTTTGCTAAGACTAAAGCTAATTACAATGGCTTCCTTGTGCTACTACAGTGTGCAGTACAGAAGGTGGATCCTCTTGGTAAAATACTCACAGAGTTAAAATAAACAATCTTGTTCAAGATATACGCTGTCCGAGTGCCACATTTGTTGAGCGAAGATTCCAAGATGAAGTGGGTGCCGTTCATCCTGGCTTTGCAGGAGTGGTCCAGCAGCGAGAGCTCCGTGCGGGCGTGGCCGCCGGCCTGGAACAAAGGAGCTTTGTCAGGGGCTGAACACAACTGTGCTCGCCTGTGCCAAAGTGCACTCCAGCCCCTGCTCGTGGGGCTGCAGGAGGAAGTGAAGTTCATTGTACTGACATCCAGGGAAGGTCACTCTCAAAATGCTGTTATACATGGCAGACAAGGAATAAATGTAACATGGAAAAAAAGGAAACAACAGGTTCATTATTAATCTGCTGATTAATAATGCTGACTCTGTTTGGTCTGAAATGAGCTAAAATGCTGTTTCAGGCTCTTTTCCACAATACAAATGGACACAAGAAACCTATCAGCTGGTAGACAGTAAAGATCTTTAGATCTATTTAGGTCTCACATTGCTACCAAAAGCAGCTTCTTTTGAAATTAAAAACGCAGACTGATGGCTGAGTACAGTAATTTTTTGACAGAACCAATTGTGCACATCTTCAATCAGAAATCCCTTTAACAACCACCAGATTTCTAGGAAGAGAAAACACGATTCTGAGTTATGGCAAAGTAGAGTTTCCTCACCAAACTGTTTTTGGGGGGCTGTGTGGTAATGGCTGTAGGACTTCAAATGTTTATTTTTTCCATTAAAATGCAAATAAAATGAGCTACCCAAAAAAGCCTCCCCAGTTTTGAGAATAAGGTATCACACCAACCTGTAGAGAATCTTTTTCTACAGCTACTGTCATAATTTTGTCATCACATTTTATTGACAGGGCCATATCAGCACTGCCCTGAACTTCTTCAGGCTCTTTATGTTTTGAGAGGGAATGCCCGAAGTCATGGTTTATTAATGTATCTACTGAATGCCTGGATGGGAAGATTTCTTCTCCCACTGTGTCATGTCTTCCTCTGTTAATGTGAAATGGAAAAGTCAGGCCATCGGTATTCTTTGGAGCTGGCAGTGGGTTAGCACCCAGCAATTCTGTCAGCTCTGGAGGAAGGGAATGGTCTTCTTCATCATTCATCTCTTCTGAAAAAACAAAACCAAACAAATCCACATTAGTTTATTAGATATTTTTCCTAAAAAGTACTGTGAACTAATAATTTTCATAGAGAAAAAATATTATCCATAAAGGGAGCTCCTGAAGGCCATTAAAAGCAGCATCTTTGTACTTTTCAGGTAAGTAGCCACAACTCCTACACCTAAGTGTTTAGTTGTTACTGAGGCATCTAACCTTGGTGTACTTAGTCCCTGTCAGAAATCTCTCTCACCAAGAGCTGAAAATAAACTTTTGATGAGTGGACCTATTATATGTAAAAGATCCAGGGAGATAAAAGAAGCATCGCATTCGTCAAATATTCTATTTTGGTATGGCTGAAAGAGCCTAAGTACAAATCATTAGGTGAAATTCTTCCACTACCTGACCCATCAGAAATTCAGTCACTACTGTTGTGAAACTACTTATTTTACCAGAATGAAGCTAAATAAGAGTTAACAGTATAGTGAGTAAATGAGGAAACTATCTCTTGGCTTATACACGTGACTGCTAAGGACAGAACCCATGAGAGTGCAATTGATAAAATTAATGTGAACATAAGCTTTATCAAAATTGTAAAACAATAGTTTTAGTGGTTGAAACTCAGAATTAGTGAAAAAAACCCACATGCAACTCAGCTAGCTTTAATGGATCCAGATAGCTTTACACCAGCAATTATTTCAGCCAAATACCCATTTTTTTTTCAATAGTTGTATTTATTCTGTTTGGTCAGATTTTTTCGTAAGCCACTCATGTCTGTAAACAGTTTCAATGTTTATTTAATCATCTCAAGGAAACACTATGCTCATACTTTTGGAAAAAACACACTAAAAAAAAAAATCAAAGCTGGATTTATTAACTAACACGATATCCAGTTGCTGACATCTATTTCAGTGAACATTGGGCACCATCAGCTATGAAGTCTTGTGCGTTGGATAAACTATAAACATTTAATTCCACCAAATTTCAGGAAATAACATAACTTTGCCTGGACTTTTCTAATCAAAAAGCCACAGATTATTATTTGCAACCATCATTTATCAGTATTACCAGCATTCTTGATGACAAGCAGTAAAAGAAGTGCAACAGCCAAAACAAAAGCTTCAAACCTGAGAAAACACTGTTCAAGTAACTGTATTCCTAAAAACACAAGATATGATTTTTCTATATGCTAGAAGTTAATCTTCAAACTTACCTATATCTTCAAGTTGCAGATGAAATCTGTTAGCAACAGGTGCTTTTGTGTAGGAAATAACTGGACTATAATTATGCTCATAAGCCCACTTGATCAAACTCTCATGCGATGAGGGAAGGTCAGGTATTACTGATTTACTCATAGTCATGGATCGTTCTGTTTCTTTTCCAAAACCTATACTATTTGATGTCTGTAAATAAAAAAAAAAAAACTTGATTTGTGATTTGCCACTTAAGGATACTTACAGTGGAATAGTGATACTGATTGAACCCTGATTTTTTATTCTGTTTTAATCTAATAAATAACAGCAAACTGAGGACATCTAGGAAATAAACCAAACCCTGCCACCTTAGGCACATAACTGCTGCACAGATGGAAAAGAACCCCGTGCTTCCTCTCAGCCTCTGCCTGGAGTACAATAAATCAAGGCAATCAGAAACTGTTAATCCCTAAATGAGACAAAGACATATTTACAGCCTTTTGCATAAGGTCATACTTTCTTCAAAACTGATCTGAAATTACTCCTGAAGTGAACTTAAGAGAACTTAAGATGACAAATGAATTTTCAAATGTCCCCTAATATCTTGGATTAGAGCATTACTTTAGCTGGATAAAGGAAAACCTTTGTTCAAATGAGCATTACTGAAAAAGGCAAAAAGCATGCTCAGTAGAGTTGATACCAGCTAATGCTGTAAGTCAGCTGGCACCAAGGACAGGCTGTGTCTGAATGAGCTTCACCCTAAAAATGCTGTGTGCCTCCTCCAAAGTATTGAGTTTGTTAAACATGATTGAACTAAACACTCAATAGAGCAGTAAGTGAGAGCATGTATATTTATGCGTGGCCAGACTACTTAAAAAACAACATTTACTTTCTGTAAATGAAAAGATTTTTAAATTAACAATACAAGTTTTACACAATTACAGAGATACAGCAAACTCATAAATGCACATGCTGACCTAATGAATCAACATGCTAAATTATCATTAAATAAATGAGTCACACAACCACTTAGTTTTCATTTTCCTGTAAATGTTTTGTAAAATTTCAACTTTTTTTTGCTCAAATGGGCAAGTCAAAGGAATATAACAAGTATCTCTCACTATTAAAGAGGCAGTTCAAAAACATTCACTGGTATTACATATGTATTCAACAGCTTGGCATCTTTAACACGTATTCATTCACACCAAACCTAAATACATATATATTTGTTCTTACAGTCACAGCATTACTATTATCACTGTAACAACTACATCAATGGCCACAGAACAAGCTGAATAAAGATGCTGCAGGAAAGGCAAGATGACCCACTTTTCAGCGATTTCTGCAATGTGATTGAAATGCACTTTCTAATGCAACTGATACCATGGAATGTTCCACAAACACTTTCATTCCCATGCTTGATTACCTTCTTCATCATATAGGCTACACCTTCTTTTCATTCCCACTGGCTTTTCCTCAATGTGAACAGATCTTAAATCTTTCACTCGAGAACACCAGAAGATTGACGAGAGAGATCTCTCTTAGTGCTCCTATGGACATGCTACACAGGTCAGAGAGCTCAGCTGTACTTCTCTACATGACATCAAAATGAGTTTTTGAACAAAGAAGTGAATAAAGCATGTAGAGAGTCCTGATGGAATGCATAGTGTACCTTCAACTCCCTCCCTCATTTCTTCCTAAAGAGTTCTGCAGCCTTTAAACACTTGGGGCTTCACAACTGAAGTTAAAGATAACTTTAAGTAGAGAGTGCCTGGTTTGAGGATACTGTTACCAGAACAGTTATAAATGCTCAGCAAAGGTCACTAAAGATAAGAACCTTTGGAGCAACAGGTATCCTAATTTTAGTGCCTTACAACTCTTTGGTATCAACTAATCTTTGATCTTCAACACATGCAAATCTGGACACAATTTACCATGTATTTTCATATTACCACATAGCTTTGACTGTTTAGAAGTCATTATGCTAACCCAACTTTGCTGCATCTCTTTACTTTTCTGTCACAAGGAGACAGCTGAACAAATATTATTGCAGAACTTTACTGTCCTAACTGGCACTCGAGCATTTCCAGGGCTTTTTTACACCCCTCCACTCCATACTGAGGCTGTAAATGTTCAGTCTTGCATTGCCTCACTGAAACAAAAGCAAGAACAAGGGCTTGCAGGACTGAAGGGCTTCCTTCACTTGCCTGCCCTGCCAACACTCATACACAGCAATTGAAACCAGGCAATCTGAGCCCCCACCAACCTACTCAGAATAGACACCACTTCAGAAAGTGGTGGCCAGTTGTCCTCAGGTCAGCAACCATCCCTCCAGGCTTCTAAAACCTTTAAAGGTTTGTTTTGTGCACCGCACCTCTGTCACTCCTTGGCCCTCAGCAAACTTATTTTCTTTCTGGAACTTCTCTGCACAGTTCCCAGCTGTGCAGAGGGCCACCAGCTGCAAAGGAAGCGATGTGAGCAGCAGTGCACAAGCAGAGAAGCACCCAAGCACGACATGTAAGGACTCCACACAGGAGTTAAACGCAGCCCGGGAAGAAAGCACTGCGCATACACCACATGCAATTAATTTACCTAAAGTACTCCCATTTTACTTGGGTTTGTGTCCATCCTCTTTCAGACTTTCAAAACACACAGCAAGCTAGGAGATGAGCTGTATGACCTAAAACATCTTTTTCATTTTTTTTTTATGAACCTAGACCTCAGTAACTTACAGTACTGGGTTTGAGGCAGTTTAGCACTAACCTTTCCCTCTCAGCTTGCCAATCCCCTCAAGACAATTCTAATTCATACAGAGGGCAAGAAGTTAGGAAAATTGAAGTGCATGGAACTGCTTCAACTAATAAAAAGAACATTGTGAAACATTACCTAATTGCTTAGTAATGTTTTTCTGTATTGTCTAAATTTGGGCTTAGAAAAGCATTCAGCTTAATAGAGATATGAAGAGATGCTAAATGCTCGATATGCAGGCTTTTTAATGACATGGGGGAGTTTAGTTCCCCTCCCTTAGCCCCTCTAAATAAAGGAGAATGAAGCTTATATATAAATCAAGTAGTAAAGTAAATCCTAACATGAATACGAAGTCTTTTAAATACTGACATTTTCTGTATATATTTGATGTATTACTTTCTCTTTTTGTTAATCTAAATAAAATGTTACCTTCTGCCACTCATTGCAGAAACTTTTTAAAATTATACTTTTTACCTATATTCTCAATAATTAATAAAGAAGAACTCTAGAAATAAAAATTTCAAAGCAGTGCTGCTTTTCTATATTCAAGTGCAGCATTTTAGAAATTTTAAAAGCCTGTAGAAATTGTGTTGTGAAAGTTGATCATCCATAAAGTGACAGCTTCATGGACATGAAATATACTACTTGAGCTATTTCCTTTGATCTTCATGGTGTGAACTAAAGCACAATTCTCTGTCCTGTGAAAGTAGATCCATATATGCCCAAATATACAGTGGTGAATTCTATGTAATAACACAGGATGAAACTTTGAAGTCAAGCATTGTTTTCATTATTCTGCTTACAAGAGTGGTAATCCTCAGCAACCAAACCCAACCTCTCTCTTTAAGGACAATTTTGGACCTACAAAATGACCAGAACATCTTTTCCTGTCTGTAAGATAAATATGTGCCAGGGATCAACAGGGAACTTCATCATCCACCCAGATAATTTTCCCATTCAATTTTCTGAGCAACACAAAATTACCTTTCTTTTATTTTCCTTCACTCTCAAAAGCTACTATGAAATCCTGCTTACCAATCTATTTTCTTGGGAGATTTAGACCAATTAGCCTTTGCATTCTGCCAGAATTTCCTCTGCACAGATTACAAGCAGAAAGCAACTAAGGAAAGGAAAATTGCTATAAATACCAAGAACTGGAGTTTGAAAATGTAACTGAATTGCTGCAAAACTGCTAATTGTGAGGCTACTGGGTGGTCCTAAGCAAACCTTCAGCTCAACTGTACAATGTGCTCTTAACTGATCACTTAAGATATAAATAGGCCATAAATTTATAGGCTGCAAGATCAGTTTAATTATATTTATTTATTTCAGAACAAGGGAACACATCTTCTTAGTAGAAAGGGTGTTAAACCACAAAGCCTGTACCAAAAATCAACATGAATCAGCATCTCCAGTCATTTTAGAAATTTAACTTTAGAGAGCCTGGTTTTAACTTAAAAAAAAAAAAAAAAAATTGTTGTCTGAGGAGAGTTAGGTCAATTTGACCAAAGACTTACTGGAGACAGAAGTACTGGCAGGGAAGAGGGCTAGATACTACAACTACAAGCAGAAGTAAAGGAGTTTCCACTTCTAAAGGGATGTGGGTGTGTGCTGCATATCTAGTATTATCTATTCTGCACTTGAAGGCATCCTTCCAACTTCTGGCATGAACCTGTTGATCCATACACCAAAGTAACAGCAAAAAGAGAAACTAACATCCCACCCTGCATTTAGGGTGCTTCAACAGAACTCAAAAAGACACAGATTAAATCCTTGTTCTAACCACCTGGCTTCTACAATGTGTTGGTCAGTTTTATAGCCCATATACTGAAAGTTAATAAGAATAAAAAGTTCATGCATTTACTCCTTAAAATGCAGTAATTATTAAAAAGAAGCAGCTAAGAGAAAACACTCAGAAATCGACATGGTCTAGCACTACATCACATTTAAATGGATTCTATACTGTTGCATTATGATAGCTCTCAAAAAATAAAGGTGCCTTAACTTACAATCACTTCCAGCTTTCCCTGGACATCATGAGACTTGATAACCCAATTGACAGACTTTCTGCACTTGAGGATAAGCACGACATCTCTGACAAGTCTGGCGCCTGGCTGAGATGGTTTAATGTCAACGATTATATCCACCTGGAGAGCACTGCATGTGGAAAATAGAAAGTTAGAACAGAATGCCAGAAATTTTCAGCTATCAACCTTCTTCCAATCCATCATGTTTCTACTGTCTGGCCAGCTGATTAAAATGCTGGATATTATCCCAGGCAACACAACATGTGCAAAACAGATTGTTATTCCATATACACTTAAGTGATTTTGCATAACAATAGAAACAAGTACTTTTTAGAAAAAAAATATTTCTGTCTCTTATTTACAAGAAGTGTGCTACTCAATTCACCTATTATTTAGTGCAGGTAAGTTATATGACTAGCAGGTTGCTTTCTAAAGTAAACATAATTTTCTTGTTTCACTGTGACAGTGCCTAAATACAACTGTTTCAGTTTCCTCTGGCTATAACTGTATTAAAACTTAAAATAATATCTTTTAAAAAGTAAAGAAGACAAGCAGGTTAACACACATGCATGAAAACCCCAACCCAAACCACAAGTACTATACTGGGGGGTGTCTCTGCCTAAACAGTTAAATTGCGGAATGACTTTGCTTAAGATCTTGCGTGCTTTGAGGAATTAAGCAGTGTATTCAGTTTCCACTACTTCTGGGTATATACTTACTTTGAAAAGAAAAAAACCCAGATGTCCAGCCTACTGCTTGCTGGAAAATATATGAAAACTACCCATATTTTCAAGATCACACTAAAATAAGTAGAGCAAATGGGTTCTTGCCCATCAATAACATCTCAACATGCAAAATATCAATTCAACAGAAAAACCTATACTTCCAAACCATCTTATGGGGCCATACATTACAAGAACGTGCTCAGCCCCATGTAATAGGTTCCAACTAATATCCCACACTGAGACTTCGTGTATCCTGGGACCTTTGATCTATGTCCTGCAGTTTTACACATGCCCAATTCTTTGGGGATTTAAACTTTGTAAGGATAGCTGTGGATAACACATAAAACTAAGAACAAAGTAACTTAGTACCCTATTTTTTTTTTAATTTTAATAAGAAAACATTTAAACTTTTTGCAGTGTTATCATCTCAAAAGCAAATTCCTATTGTACTATTATCCAAAGCCAAATGCTTGGAACCAGGGCTGTCATTGTGTAGCACTACAAGGGACTTGGAATGATGCTTGGCATCAACTCTGTTCAGGATGGGGCTGCATCATCATTTGGGGTTCCCTACTCCACTTCCACTACACTACTACTCCACTCCACTACACCCCAACACTTTCTTAGTCTCCCCAGGTTAGTATGCAAGAAAATTATCAGGCTCTGGGTTCAACATCTTGCAATGAGAATTATCCTTTTCACAAAAACACCTCCTCCCACCTCCGTTTCCCTGTGTGATTTTCTCATTAGGGATGGGATGCACTCACATGCAGCTGCATGAGGAGCAGAACCAGACAATACCAGATATCCAGTGAATGCAGTAAGCAGACAGGATTTTAATTTTACCTTATCTCTGATGAAATTGTAACCATCTAAGTTTCATAGCAAATTTCTGTTCTAGCAATCATACTTGGCACTTAGTCATACTTGGAAAACCTCTTCTTATCTGAAGCAAACCCCACTTATGTTCTCCCACTAAGATTTAGGAAAGGCCAGCAAAAGATGAGCATTCTATGTGTCTTACCTCCCAAAGGTACCTTTGACAATTTAGAAAATCCTCATAATGTGTACAGAGAGTTACTTTTTCTAACCAGTAGTTAAAATTTTTTTAGTCAGTGCACCACTGTCAACCCTTAACATTTCTCACAATTCTCAAACTATCCCTTAAACTCAACTGGAAACTTGACAGAAAAAACTGTTGTGAATCTTCAGAGTAGCTGTGGAACACTTACCATAGACCAGAGATCACTTGCAGCCTCTGGACACTGCTTGGGAGCCACTGTCCTAGACCTTGCTGCCAGTCATGCCTACCTGTGACAGCTCAAGATTACTTTCAACCTCTGTCTCACCTCCTCATACAGTGGTCTAACCTTAAAACTTCTCTGTCAGATACTGCCCTTACTCATGTTCCCTTATTCACCTTATCCTTGGAAAAATGTGATTGATTGAGCAAGAAGGGGAGCTTCACAGAGAGTACACAGTCCATAAAAACTGTGCTTTGCAGTCTTGTCCAGAAAAATCCTATGATTATGAAGCAGAATTCAAAATCTTTACATACTGAAGAAACCAATTTCTATTTAAAATTAAGTACTAAAGCCCTAGCTTTTCTTTAAGGATGAAATGGCTACTTTCAATTGATTTTTATAAGACGAGTGAAGTTTTTAGCTATTACTTCAAACAGTTTTAGTCTATTTAGATGATACTTTACCTGTTAGGATTGGAATTTGGAGTACTTAGTTCAATGATATGAACTTCTCTTTCTTGGACTAAGTTAGACATAAGGCACCCCTCTGCTGGTTTTGGTTGTAGGTAGCCCGCAAGGTAATTTAATGAGAGGAAATTCTTTTTTATGTTGCACGAGGGAGGAAAAACTTGATCTGGAGGGAGGAAAAAAAGAAAGCATATGGACCTTTAAACACATATGTCAGTTTAGATGCATGCACATACCACATCAACTTCAGTGTTCACTATATTGCTGAAAACTGTATCTACCATCTATCATAAGCACATATGACAAATCATCATATTGAAAGGGAGATTACTGTGGCACCAATACATCAACTTTATAATATAAACTATATACTTCTAAACTGAATAGTTACTATATATGGATTTAAACACTTAATGAAAGAAAATCCCCGCAAAGAGAATTTTGAAAAGAATTCTGAAGAAAAATATGTGAAAAACTTTTCAAAATTAATAAAATACATTTAATTTGTTCCTTGCATCTCTACAAGAGATTTCTCTCTATTGCAATTTACTCAGAGATAACTTTTGGAATCAACTCCTTCTCCCTCTGGAAAACTTTTTATTCTTGTTATTATAAACTTACAATTTTTTAAATACTACAAAAAGTACTCTTCATTTCTTTACTTGATATATTTCCTATGTATTGTGTGGTCAGAGTCAGTATTGTCTAGAAAGCAACAAATACTGCATTTGTCTTGCACATGGAAAATTAAAAGCATCAAGAATTATGGAATCAGCTGTTGATATTAAGAAACTGATCACAATATGCATAGCTGAAATGATTAAATTCTAGTATAGCTATTCAATCTCTCTTTTGGTTCTAACCAAAAAGCTGAATGCAAGCATTACAGAATCCCAGAACATGCTGGGTTGGAACAGATCCACAAGGGTAATTGAGTCCAGCTCCTGGCCCTGCACAGGACCATCCCCAGGAGTCACACTCTGTGCCTGAGAGCTTTGTCCAAAGGCTTAAACTCTGCCAGGCTGCTGCTGTGACCACTGCCCTGGGGAGCCTGTTCCTGTGCCCAACCACCCTGTGGGGGAAGAGCCACTACTGAAAAATGCAAACCATAAAAAATAGCCACTTCATATGAAATTCTCATGCACAGCCTATATTACTGTACCCCAAGAAACAGTATTTCTACTGAAAATCAGGAGCACTTTCCCTTTCTGAGACAGCTTGACATATGAATTGTCATAATACGTAAAAGGACTAAGTACCATGTTCAAACACTTGAAGTCCTGTAAGAATACAATTCCATGTGGCTGGGTCTTTGACCACTGGTGTACGAGAAAGACTTCCTATTGAGGTCAGTAGCAAGATACACCAAAAAAACCACCACCACCACCAAAAAACAAAAACAAAAACAAACAAAAAAAAAAAACACAAAAAACCCAAAAGAAAATAAATCAACTAGCATGCATTGTGAACACAAAACTGAAGAAACGCTTATGAGCTGTGCTGAGGTCATGCACTCTCTAAGATGAGAACTGAAATGTCACCTCTGAAGTGCATTTCTGTGTCCTACCCAACTTTGCAGGAAGATCAGAGACTCCTGTGACCCTGGTCTCTGCAGAAACAATCAGGGGAGTTCCTTCTCCTGACCTTATACAAAGCAGCCTTTGAATATTAACCCTGTTGTGTCCCCTACAGAAGCTACCAAAGCTGTATAAGGCTGTAATTATTCATACTGCCCAAGCAAAGCACTTCTCTAACATCTGGTATGTGCCCTGCCAGATTAGCCTTGAATGCAGCTGCACTTCTGCCAGCTCCTCCCACAACAGCACAGAATGGAAAATGATCCCAAATGGTCTATTGCTTAGCTTAAATTTTTAAATATACACACACACACACAGACACTAGGTATTTGCTTCTTAGCTTCTGTACAACATGATTCAGGCCATAAAATAAGAGTTCTGGAGTAGTTTGTGAGTAATTACCACACGTGCTATCATTTGCCATTGCAAAGAACTCAGTTCTTGCTCCTGGCACTTCCATCAGGCTTCTCTGGAGCTCTCCAGAAGTGCTGCTCCTGCTGCCAGAAGCACAGAGACTCCCCAGCCTGGGCCTCTGCTCGATAGCACGCTCTTCCTCTGCAGCAGATTTCAACTCTGTCACGGGCTACTTGACATTCACACCAGAATGTATTTACTCTCATCCACACCAGTTACCAAAGTCAGGCTGGAGCAGAAAAGAAGAAGGGATCCATTTCATCTTTCTTTGTTCACTATGCATCTCTTCTTTGTGAGTTTCAGGGCTGTCTACGTATTTTGGAAAGGGACTGCAGGTGTCTGCAATCAATTAAAAACACGACCAAACCAGCCAACAAACAGTCAGTTTATGGATTCTGTGCCTCTCTAATCTCCCCAGACTCCCAAAACAGACTCAGACGTGAGTTTTGCAGGCAACACCCTCAGCAGAGGGTCTCTGGCCAGCAGGCAGGAGTGCCAAGGGGCCCCGCTGGCCAGAAGGCAGCAGAGCTGTGAGCAGTGGCCAGCAGCCACATCCCCCTCGGCAAGTGCCAGTCTGCCTGGATGGAGACACAGGACTGCACACCAGGATGTAGTTTGTGTGCAGCACTTCTTTTTACTGATGAGGACAGACACTGTCTGCTCTATTCTGCACAAATTAGGTGCCATCCACAGGTTCTTGGCTGAAGCTGAATATCCAAGTTTAACATCATCCTGAGGAGGTTTTTGGGCAAATGAGCACTGTTAATCAAGTCTCATTCCCCAAGTAAGGCACCCCAAGCAGCAGCAGATGGATGCAGCAATAAAAATCCCATCCAAGCAGAGTTTGCCTTTCAAAAAGGTGTTTGGAATTTTCCTTGGACAATCTGATGGTAGGGATTATTTATGTGTATTTCACAGTTTGCTAGCCCTCAGCACAACAGAACTTTGGCTGACATTTAATGGCAGGATAGAAATGGCATCAGGGAAGGGCCTACAGGGGTCTCAGGAGGGAGGATGCAAACTCTAGGCAGGGCTATCCCACAGCAGGACACACAGCTAAGCCAGACACAATGGGACCATGTGCAAGCATTAAACCAAGCAAGCATGGCATGCAGGGTATATGCACTGGTGTGTACTGGCTATAAATTCAGAGTCAGGACTGATGTTTCAGCTTCTGCCAGGACAGAAGCACAGTGTTACCTTCTGTAAATAAACTGTAAATTTTCTAATTTAGCTACTGTTAAAGCTAATTTTTTTTTCTTATTTAGCTAAGAAATGTGTTGAAATTAGCGTCCCTCCAGGCTAGCACATTTGCTCTGGATTTACTGGTGATGCTGGATGCATTAGATAACATTTAGCTAACTGATAGGACTTCCTGACTTGTTCAATCATGTCATCCATGAGGAATTAAACTGACTTCTGCTGAAAAACACATAGCAAGACCATTTTCACCATGAGCAGGCCTGCTTTCTAGAATCTGACAGTGATTATCACAGCATTCACTCTGCCATCTCCTTCATTACACAAACCAAGGCAAGAACAAGAACCGCACTTCTTGTGCCCCTTTCCTCTACACCCCCATTCTGGCCCCTTAAAATTCTTGCTGTGATCACCATCCCTGCAGTATTTGATCAGCCACTCTTTAGAATCAACAGGATTCAGATGCACTTGGCCCTGATCCAGTTTGCTAGTGCTCTCAGCTGCCTTTCATTTGCAGTTTCAAAAGTGACTTAAGAGACCCATGGCATCAGAAGCAGCTTTATTCTATGAAAAATCAGCCTTCTTCAGATCTTTCTGTCCTTTGGCTTGCATTTTCTGTTTTCTGTGCTCAGCTACAGCCTACACTTCTAAAATGTTACATCTTCCAGTTTCAGATTTGTCTAACTTGAGTGAAGCTGAAATGTAGACAATTATATTAATACAGCCATCAAATTCTGTATCAGTCACACTGCAAGGAGCTGCCTTGTGTGACCAACTATAGATTATGAGCAATACTAGAAGTGATTCACAGACTGTCAGCTGAGGGTACCTTACTACATTGCATGAGAAATGTAAGTTTTGTATGAAAAGCCCAAACTGTACATGACTGTGCTGTGGTTTGTGAAATCCAGTGATTCCATTGTTCATTCTGCAGAGAAGCAAACCAAGACCACATCCCACGTGGTTTTCACAGAACTCCTCACATAACTGCTGCAGTTCAAGAACTGACCCTGTCCCCACCTCTGAACACATGCATAACCCCCACACATACACACTTATTCACTTCTGCCAAGAACTTAAATCAAAATCAAATACAGCTACAGCTGAGCTAGTTTGTAGGAGCCTTCTCAGAAACTGTCTGTTTTGGTTGCCTGCCAAGTTCCATTTTGTGTACTTACTCCTAATTAAATTGTGTTTTAGCGAATTCTAAATATGATGCAAAACTCCTCTGTTGCCTCCTGGTTTGACTGGAGACATGCAAATCAACAAACAAAATTTTATCTGTTTTTTTTTTCAGCATATCTAATTAAATATTTGTGTCCACAATGCAGAGACCACTACTCCCATGTATATGTTTCAGGAGCATTTTAATAAGCTAATAAATATATTTCTGAATTATTTTCTGGCATTAAAATTTAAGACTGGTGCCAAGTATAGCCAAAAAAAAAACCCACACGGGGGAATCCTCTACAAATTTGGCAGGATTTGGACAAAACTAACTCAGGCATGTTCTGATTTTGGGGGGCAAACCTCCTATGTCAGGAAATCAAATGATCAGATACATGTGGTTAGGAAAGCATGTTTTCTCCACAGAAGGCTTTTTGTTGGCTTTTTCTTCCCTGTAACCAACCAGTTCAGCTGTTTGGGAGTTCCTGCAGAGATAGTCCTGCAGAGGATCATACAGTTGTGTTGTGCCAATACTGCTCAGCTATGGAGCTACAGCCTGAGCCCCACCCCAGTATGGGCCTGTGTGAAGTCCCCAAGGAGCTGGAGTCCTCTCCCACCTGCGCTAGCCCACCTGAAGGATCTGGCATGTGGCTCACAGTGACAGGAAATCTTTCTCCTTGGGATGAAAATACGTAAGTATTTAGTTTGTAGTAATTTAGTTTGGTGTGGAAAGCAATAATTCTTTGCCCAAAGAAGTCTGGGTCCTTATACAAGCTAATACTGAAAAAACTAAACGTAACTCAGGTCTTTCTAGAAATTTCCCCCTACTTCAATGTCTCCACTTCTTCAGATGAATGCACCCAAACAATCACCATGAGTAGTTGATTCTTGTTAAAAGGCAAAGTTTGACTCTCGCAAGATTCTGAGCAATTGCATCACATTTATGAGCATAAAGTTATGGCACCAAAATTCATTAAAAGTTTCCTAAACCCAAGGTCCAGGCTTTAGGCATGCTCTTATTTCTCTGCTTCCCCTTTCATATCGTAGCTCTTGAAAAATGAGAGGTATGTTTAAAAACTGAAATAAGTGAAATACAAGCAACACATTCTCAGTATCTGAAAGTGTCTAAGAATTCAGTTGGTTTTGCTCAGGTTTACCTTCTCCTACTTTAATATAGATGTTTCTTGATATTTTAAGTTCAGTGAAAGATGTTACTGCTCCATATTCCTTCTGGGCCCACTGTAGCAGTTGTTCATTTTTCTCAGGAAAAAACTTTTCTTCTGTTTCTGCTGACAAGGAGAAGTTTCCCTTCTCAAACTGAACGACGGAACCTAAAGACACCTGATGGGAATAAAAACATATTTTAATGTAGTACGTTTATCCACACAGACATGTAGCATGTTTAAGCAATGTAATCTGTCACACCCAAAAGCAGTGACTGAAGGTGATAATAGCTTATTTCCAAAAATACCCAAGTGTCACATGTTTTAACATCTGCATAATGATTCCTTTTTCAGAGATGTTTTTTAGAAAGAATGAAGTGCCCATCAGCCCAGGTGGAGTGTACAGGGCAGCTGAATAACAGTGGATTCTGAAGCACTCTGCAAAATTGTACCTCTGCAGAAGTGGAACCACAGTGTGCTGCAACGGGAGATAAACTTTGGGGGCAAAGAAAGGAGAGAATAAGAGGATGGTCTGAAGAAATGAAGGCAGATAAGAATGTGAAGCTAAATATAACTGGGAACTACTGAAGTAAATCCCAAATCAGAAAGGATGTGAGTCCAAGCTCAGTGACATATAAAGGCCAGCCCAGAAATAGAATAGAGTAAGGAAAGAGAAAGGCTAAGAGAAAAGAATGGTATCTACTGTTGCTTTATTTACAGGAAGTGAGGAAATACTTTCATTTAATAGATAAAGTAGATGAGTTATATACATCTTCTGAAAAATTCTTAAAAATAGGTTACATTAACTGAGGTCTTGAATGGAAAGACTAAAATGTTATTTAAAATAGTGAAAACGGAAAAACAGTACACAGAAGTGTAACAGGTTCTGCAGGAAAGCCAAAGATGTTCAAATAAAGCTTCGCTGGAGTAGCAGTAGCACCATTCACAAACAGAAGGTGGCTCAGGGTCAGACTCTCTCTGATTGTGACCTGCTTTAACCTGTGCTAGTCTCATGAGACAAACAAGTCATTCCTACATTTCCTACAATGCAACATCCCAACAGCATCCTGTCATCCCAACAGCAACCTTTGACTCTCCTGTCCCTGCAGATGGATGCAGCCAATACTTCCAGGACATCTGTCAGCTCTTGAGAGGTCCCTCCAGAAGTGGTGAAAGAGCAGCAATCCTTCATTTGCCAAACCCATCCATACACTTCACTGTATGGATGTTCACTACACTTGGCACTTGCAAGTATTTGTCCAAGTAGATACGTAAAATACATCCTTTGGCAGGTGAAAAGAAATTGCAAATTCTTCCCTGTGCCTCCATCTATAATGCTAGCATTTATTATACACATACCACATATTCTTCTCTAAGAGAAGGCACAGGTAATTCAGATTTCAATTTGACCAGACCTGTTACAAAAAACACCTTAGGAATCCTTTTGCCAGAACATTCAAAGTTTAAACTAACACCTCTTTCAATTTTGAATAATCTTTCTTATTTGTTTTCAAAGAACTACCATAAAAGGCTTCTTTTAAATGAAAAAAAGTCTTTATTATTTAGTGTAACACAGACCACACCGCGTTCTATCAACAGTCTCATAGTTCTCAAATAAGGAAGCAAAGTCTGCCATTAGAATCAATCCTGTTCTAGGAAAGGAGAGCAACCGGTTATCTCTATAAGGTATTTAGCAAATAGCATCCACTTTGTATTTTCAGCACCTAGAAGCAGCTATGCCACGGGCTGATTTCATGGAGCATCTCTACAATGCTTCTAACACACCAAATTCTGTGTAAATTCCAAGTGCACAGTCTCAGAGGATGGCACTGACACAGCACATGCCAGGTCATGCTGGATTGTGTACTTTTATACCAGAGACACATGGGACATTTATAGAGAACTCTGGCCTAACTAGAAAAATCTCCCATGCATGAAATTCACTGGATTTAAGGACTTAATCAGTAATTATTTTGCAGGAATATTGAATAGATGTTGGTGTTCCACCCTCAGAGACAAACAGTTTATCCAGTAAGTGCAGTAGTTGGTTTTCATTTATACCTTGTTTCCATATTTTTTTAATGGTCAGCATCAGGGTAAAGCAGCATCAGTGTATCTTTTTAAGCATTTCAGGACTGCATGACAGAAAGTATTATTCCTTCTAAATAACAAACAAAGAAATGGATTACCTTGCAATAATACATTTTTGCTGTATTTTTCATTTGAGATAGTTAAATGTATGCTAACACAACAGCTGTCTTCCTCAGAATGCACTTGCTTTTTCATTTATTACTAATTAAAACTTGAAAACCTTTTTCATCATCCCACAACGTGACAAATGTCTTCCTGAGGGACAGATCCTATCAAAGTAACCACGTGCTTCAAGGGAGGAACTGACAGACAGAAAACAGAGCAACTAAAAGGTCTGGCACGAGTAACTAAGTGATCATACAGTAAACATCTTTAAACAAACATGAAGCTTATAATATTTTTTTTTTTCAATCACACACTAAAGTCTATTTGAAATGCTAGTTCCACTACCCAGGTTTTAGAAACAACTGCAGAGCTCTGCTGTGCTTGCCAATGTTGGGATTTTTACTACACAGACCTAAGGCAAGGTTAAGTGAGCCAAGCACGTTATTTGTTCTGGAAAGAATTCAACAGACCCTTCCAAAAAAGGCAACCATCACTGTTTCAACACCTGCCCTGAACATTAACTACTTACTCATCAGAACAAATCAAAAGCAAATCTAACATGCTTAGGATAATGCAAAGCATTGAAGTCTAATAATGTTTTAAATATTTGGGAAGTAACCAATTTTTATCTGAGCACTAATTACGCACTGATTGAGTGATTAAGAGACTGCTGCCACAGACACTCTTATCTCCTCCCTTCAACTCCTTTAGTGGTTACTTTCTGAGGTTGCAGAGTGGAAAAAGTGCCCCAGCTCTATTTCTTCCAGTTGTTGTGAGGACATGAAAATGATCTGCGCTGGAAACATCCTCTGCTGTTGAGTAAACCTACATGTCCTGTCACTTTTCTGAGACTAAATGAAGCAGCTGGACATGGAAAATCTGTTCACAAGACCAAAAGATATTGGCCATGGCCACTAACCACAGCAAGCACCACAGTTCAAAGGGCTGTTCCTCAGAGGAAATGAGGATCAAGCATAGTCTATTGAAAATATGCTACAAAACCTGAGTATTCCATCAAAGAACAAAACATATTTAGGAATATAATTTGGTTGCATACACTATTACCCTGCTGACCTCTGGGGAAAATAGGGCCTGAAATTTTCTCTGCACCATACCAAGGCAAGGAAACATACACCCCTCATGCTGGGGTAACATAACAAAACCAGCCTTCATACATCCCTTAAGAAAAGTTTCAAGTCTCAATAAAACTGCCCTTGCAAGGCTGCCGTGGTAGCTCAGGACATCAGTTACCTGGCAGAAGTGCCAAATGTCGTGAGTTACTATTCTCCAGAGGGAACAACTCAGACCAAACCTGCATCATCTCAAATATATACAGTGGTGAGTGTGAATACTGCACACACAAAATAGCATATTCTGTTTCTTATTTTACCTATTTCCTTCTCTCCCTTTAAATGTTTATTGCCTTTTTTTTCCCTTTTAATCTGATCCAGGGGGATATTTTGCTTTATAACGTTTTAAGTATTTAACATATTATAATTCAAAACTCCTAAGTAGGAAGCAAGTTCATAATTCAGCCTTGAGAGAGAGAGGTAGGCACCCCTGTGACATGATTCAGGATACAAAGGTAAGCGTCCACAGCCACCCAGCATGAAGCAATCCCTGCCCTCACAACCACAGCTACACCACTACCCATGGAGGGTACAAGTGACCACCTAATCATCCCTAAAGCCATGATAGAGTCAAATATACTAGGAGGAAAAGAAGCAGCATCCTTCATATTTTTATCTGAACTGTACAGTATCAGATCTGTGGTGGAATATGTAGGAGAGGAATATATCTGCTCAGAATAAAATTAAAATATTTGAATCAACTATTGGAACGGCCTACCTGGGGATCAGAGTCAGACAGTGTTTTTTGGTATTATACTTTGATGTAATTTCATCCTCTTTCAGAGGGGACAAAAAGCCACAGATGGAGAAATATCAGGTATTCCAAAACTCAGAAATGTATCTTTTGTTGTTCATAAATCCATACACAACCTACTTTAATCATCAAGAGATGCTTTTGAAATTACATGCCACATTTGCGAATTACCTATCAAATTTGCATAGTCCGTACAGGCACAGGGGTGTGATGTTTCCAGGCAATGTCAAAATTTTTCATTTTAGTGTTCTCAAGACCACATGCAGTCATTACAAAATTCCACTTCCAGTTCACACATTTTTAAAAACATACACATAAGAAACATTACCTTAAATACATTTTAGATTTTAATTAAACTTCCTGGGAGATACTCAGTTTTGCAGCTACCAAAGATCCTTATATAATTAAGGTTGTTCAATGTTTCCTCAGGATGAAAGCAGACCCTTAAGCGATCAGAGAGCGGACTCCTGCACATCTTTATATCTTTATAGATCTAGAAAAGAGATCCTGGGATTTTCTATCAAAGCTCAATCTGTGTCAAATCAAGTGGAACTTTCAAAGCCCCTAAGGAACAGTTACTAGAATGATAAAGAAACAAACAAAAAAATTTGTGTAAAGGGGAAATCTGGTACCAAAGTTTAAGGCTCGGGAGGAGTTTATTATTTGCACACAAGTAACTGTCCACTTAATTTGACAACATCTCAATAGACTCAATATAACACTTGTTTGATATGCACAAAATAAGGTAGCAGAAGCTTTTCCAGGGATTCTGTTTCAAGTTAGAGGCAATTTAGCAGAAGAAGTGAGAGGAGAATTAAAGCCTATCTATGCAACTGCAGCTATAGTTTCCACTGGAATCAGTGACTCAGAAACAACCTGTTGTGATTTATTATCTCCACATCACTAACACCAGTAGTCTGCCAAAATCCACTGCTTGCTTCTGTAAACTTCCACTGGCTAAGCCCCCTGTTTACTGAAGCAAAGAAAGGAAGGAGCCATGACCATACAGAAGAGAAAAGACTATCACAGGTGCCTGTTCCAGGTCCTTCAGCCTCCTGCAAGATTGGTTTGGGAATGCACCTCAACCACTAAATGCCC